GGGGGGGGGGGGGGGGGGGGGAGAGAGAGAGAGAGAGAGAGAGAGAGAGAGAAACCATGGCCAAAATTTGGACGTTTGGCGCTCTACACTCAACCGCATGGAAATGGGAGACCTTTAACACTTTTTTTTTTTTTTTTTGTCCCCAAACACAACGGGCCAGATAACCCTGACTATTCCAGATAGTCGACCTGTCTCAGACCACAGGCTGAAAAAAAAAACGATGGCCACTCCTTTTTTATTGTCTTTATTTATTAGCGATTGCTGGATTGGGGATTTTCTTTTGGTGAGACCTATTGAAAACACATTTCCTGGTCTTGCCAGCTCTCCAGTTTGGGGGTTTGAGTGGGATCAGAGCTGTACTACGAGGTCACTCTATGTTCAACTGTGTGACGGATTTGGATTTTAATTCCTACATCTGTCATCTCGTTTCTTTGTTATTTCTATGTGGATGGCCTGGACCAATGGAGGGACACTGATGTTTGTGTTTCCTGTCGAAGTATCCTATTCAGGGAGCTACTTCCCCGAATTCAGATGAGGGATGAAATCAGGTGCATGTCTTTGTCCCTCACTCGCAGTCCCTGCGTGACGCCCCCTGCCGGGCCCAGAAAAAAACGTTGGCACGTGGAACTGTGCAGGGGCGTTGTCCCATGTGGCGCTAATTTTTTTTTTCTTCCCGCGGTGCTGATTGGTGTTGGCGGGGCAGTGTTTGAGGATTCCGCCACAAATCGACAGTCATTTCTGGGCCATTTCCCTTGTGTTTGAATACAAGTTCAACACATTCAGGGCCTGCTTCCCTTGTGTTTAAATACAAGTTCAACACATGCAGGGCCTGCTTCGCTAGCATTTCATTGTAATGACGGTCACATCCATCAGTGATGATTAGGTTAGGGCCTCGCCCCGTCATTCACCAAATGTGCAGATTTTGTCTTTTGTGCATTTTTTTTTTTTTTTTTTTTTTTTTCCGCTGAAAGTGATTGCTGTTAGATTCATTCCGGTTAGGCCGTCGCCCCATCGCTCACCAAATGTGCAAAATGAGAATGAATCTTCTGCTTAAACACGGAAAGCATACACCAGCATAGTTTTTGTCTTTTGTGCATTTGCGTGGGTGCACCTTTCTTTTTTGAAAGGGTGACGAGCTTCAGTCAATTCAAGAATAAGTTTTTAAATTGGGAAGCATGTTCAAAAAGTCGATGATGAACGGTTTTGACTTCCCTACGCTTATTAAAATCCCTAAGTGGTGAAATCTCACATCCGGGTCGTTCGACCCGACGGTCCGGATGCACGCGCGATCTTAAAGTTTTAAGTTTTAAGATCGCGCGCGCATCCGGCCCGACGGTCCAGATCGACGCGAGATCTTAAGATCGTGTGAACATCCAGACCGTTGGCAGGCCCGAAGGTCTGGATCGCCACGCGCTGATAAGATCGCGCCCAGCAGGCAGCCCCAACGACCTTGCCGAGCGACAGCACTACCGACCTAACGCTACGCTACCGACCTACCGACCTGACGCTAGCTACTGACCTAACGGACACGCTACGCTGGACTATCGACAATGGGCTACACTACGGACCCGACGCTACGCTACCGACCTAGCGCTACGCTATCGACCCTCTCTCTCTCTCTCTC